GATAATTATCAGACGCCTAACTAAGACTCGTGAACTGCAAACACGAGAAAACCAAGCTGGTTTCAGACCTGGTCGTGGCTGCATCGACCACATATTCACCATTCGTCAGGTTCTAGAACACAGGCACACTTATCGGCGTCCGACGATGGTGGTCTTTCTTGACTTAAAAGCAGCATTTGACTCGGTAGACCGCGAGGTTCTGTGGCAGTGTCTGTCATTGAAAGGCGTACCTCAGAAGTACATAAACCTTGTGAAGGCTCTTTACTCGAACACTACTAGTCGAGTGAGAGCTTATGGCGAACTGTCATCTACTTTTGCAACCTCAAGTGGTGTCCGTCAAGGATGTCCACTTTCCCCATTTTTGTTTAACTTCATCATAGACCTACTGATGGAAATAACTTTCTCGTCGACTGAGTTCTCGGGTATTGATCTCTTTCCAGCAGGTCCACTTATCGACTTAGAATACGCAGATGACATAGTCCTGTTTGGTGAAGACGCTGACAAAATGCAAAGTCTTCTGGTAGCACTGAGCAACAATGCCAGAATGTTTGGAATGCGCTTCTCTCCCTCGAAATGCAAGTTGTTGCTTCAGGACTGGTCTGCGTTAACACCTGAACTAAGGATAGGGAGTGAAGTAGTCGAACGCGTTGACAACTTCACTTATCTTGGAAGTCTGATCAGCCCTAATGGGTTGGTATCGGACGAAATCTCAGCACGGATTCGAAAAGCTCGTTTGGCTTTTGCCAACTTACGTCACCTGTGGCGAAGGCGAGATATCCGTCTATCAATAAAAGGACGAGTATACTGCGCGGCAGTCCGTTCTGTTTTACTTTACGGTAGCGAAACATGGCCATTAAGAGTAGAAGACACTCGCAAGCTGCTAGTATTTGACCACAGATGCCTTAGAAATATTGCTGGCGTCTGCTGGGATAATCGGGTAAGTAATAGTGAGGTTAGACGCAGGGTATTAGGAAAGGATGGTAAATCAGTTGATGAGGTTATGAATCTTCATCGACTGAGATGGTTGGGCCACGTGTTACGTATGCCTGAACACCGATTACCACGACGTGCAATGCTATCCGGTGTTGGGGATGGTTGGAAGAAAGTTAGGGGCGGCCAAACCAAAACATGGCATCAGTGCTTGAAGTCACTAACCTTTAGTCTGAGCCATGTTGGTAGATGCAGACTACTTGGTTGGGGTCCGCGTGACTATCGTAACCAATGGTTGGAGACTCTTGGTGACATGGCTCAGAATCGATCACAATGGCGTCGGTGTATACACTCGGTTTCTTCCCTTAAACTAAGAGATTAAAAGCGCTTCATATCTTTCTTTCTACTAACCAATTCTTTCTTCTTGTACTATATCTCTATATGCAATCTTTCTCTTATATATTACCACCTTTTACCTAACCACTGTTATGAATCCGGTGTTCATCTTGTTGTGCTGATGCGGTATGGCAACCTGGACCGATGCACATAAGTGCATGGTTCTACGTTGTAGCTGACTGACTGACTGACAGTGGTCTTGGGTGCTGTTAGAGGTATGAGGGCGGTTATCACTTCCCGGTTGCCCACACCGTGGAAGGGTTTTTCTGGAGGTATCTGAAAAGGAAATTGGATTAGAGGCGGTCTCAGCGACCTGAGAGCGTGACCGCAGTGCCCAAGGGACAACTGCTTGAGGCCGGTCGCGCACGGCCTTTTTGTGGAAGGTTTTTGACGTGTTAGCTCCGTTCTTCAAAGAGCCTTACCGCCGGAGACGGAAATCCGTGAGGTAAGGTGAGGTGTGCATTTTTAGGGTCGACCTTTTCTAACCCCACCCCTCCTTGTGGGAAGGCAGCATCGCTGTCATGCTGGTTGTCTGAAGGAAACACCTTACTGCTGTCACACCTCTGTACAGTCAGCAGTACGACTTCGCCTTCGGACCTTAGGTTTGTTGCTTTTAGTCTTACCGCTCTTCAACCGACCTGTCTGACATGGTAGGACCTTGAGGAACGGTTGTTCCAGCCAGTATAGCTCGGTTGCTTCATCACGATAGGCAAGCCCGACCACCACGTCAAGGTAGCAACAACGGTCAGGGTGGCCCCCTAAGAAAACCACCTGCTTCGGTTTGGGAACCCGGGCAGTATCAGAGCCCTCACACATATCAAATGAGATTTGTGTGGCACATATGTATTTGGTGCCTCCTTGTACCAATATCTATGTGTTAAAATGAATAAATAAATAATAAGACAACAATCACATAGACTAGTCCTAAAGCAAAAATTTGTATTTTAAGTCAGAAATGAATCTTGAAAACCTTTTATATATGTCTGTAAATATTAGAGTTGCATTGTGTCGATTTTTCACTTTGTGAAATATGTTGCCTAAGGTTGAGGAAGAATCTCAGATAGATGACAAGCTCGTGAGACCTTAAAGGGATTGCTAATTGTGAGTAAATAAAGAAAACAGGAAACCCCGGTGAATATTGCTCAAAATAGCTACGTCAGGAGGTAAAGTCTGTCTGTAAATTAAAGGAAATGAATTGTACAGAAAGTTAGCAAGTTCTACTGAGTTTAGGGATGTCCCAGATAAGGGTTAAAACCTGTCTGCTTTCGAGCTTTATAGTCGTAATCACATTGAATCCAAAGATTTTGGAGACTACCTTAGTTCAATTTTTAAACTGATGATCTATAGAAGACTTTAAGCTTAATTAAAAATTAAAACGATTACCAATCGAAAACTGTCGAAAGAAGTTGTCCAAATCAGATACTTTAACTAACCCGAGTTGGTTTACCTGAGAAACCCAAACAATTACTTTCAAACGTCACTAGATTTATTGTATCGAAACAAATTATCCCATCCAGACTGATTAAATTGTAATCCTAGGACCTAGATCCTAAAGCTTGATATCAGTATCTTATCCAAGTTATCAGTGGGTAAAAAGCAATCGACATTTTGTCGGGTGCTATTTATTCTTTTTTAGTCATCGTTAGCCAAAACTTAAAGACTACTGCACACTGCCGTGCAATAGCCGCCAAGGGTTTTAGAACCTTATGGTCAATACGTAGGGCTTTTAGTCATGTCAACGCTTAAACATTTTTGACTTTGTATACAGTGTTCGTACAACCTAAACTTGAGTACTGCATACAAGCAGCTAGCCCCTGCTTAAAAAAGCAGTGAGCTTTTGGAAAAGGTCCAGAGAACAGTAACTAAACTGATTCCCGGAATGGCGAAACTTCTGTATGATGCTCGACTGGCCAAGCTAAACCCATTCCCGTTGTCCTGTCGTAGAACTAAAGGCGACTTAATTACAGTTTTCAAATTGCTAAGTGATAAATTTGCACCTGATATGCCCTCATTTTTCTTGTATTCCAAAACAGAGAAGTTACGAGAATACTCCAAAAAAGTTCACAAGCCCAGAACAAATTACTTGCCAGTTGACTATCGACTTTCCCATCGGATCATCAACGAGTGAGGCTCATTACCTCAACACGTGGTTGAGGCTCCATCCGTCGAATCTTTCAAAAGAAAGTTGGATCAACTGAGAGGCAACCATTGCCAGGACTAACACAGGCCATCGAGCCTCCTGTCCTTTCCAAACTGAGACTAAAACTTTGTTTGTTGCTTTTATCTGCCGAAGAATAGGCCACTGACTAACCTATCTATCCAGAAGTATTTGTTGAGGTGGTGATTACATACTCCTTAATAATGTTAAAACTGTTTGATCTAGACATTTCATTGAGACAGTGAATTAGTACCACTAACCTTTACAATAAGGTTCACAACTGACGTGGTTAGTCCGTACCTCGTAAGTGAATTACAGTACGCATCTTGATCTGATCAACCATGACCGAAAAACGGATGGCTGATAAGTTACCTTTAAGTTTCATAGGACTTGAGTAATTAACCAAGTGCAGGGTAATCCTAACGCGATGTACATTTGTCAAAGTAAAGAAATTTACATATTATCAAGACCATATTAACAAATATGTAATTTTATAAAAATCGGCGAGACTCTAATTTATGGACGAGCCATTCAGAAGCGTTTTAGAGATTTCAATGTTACGGTGCCAACTTTAGTGCCTAAGGCTAACGTACGATCGGTTTACAGGGAATTTTGTACAAAACGTGATAATTCAGCGTCTATAACAAATAAAACGGCGAGACTATAATTTGAGGACGAATCAATCAGGTATAAGTTAACAGATCTACCATTTTAACGCGAAAACCTTTCATCCATTTGGCTAAACAGATTTCTTGCATTATAGCTGATATCAGTTCGTGATGGAAACCCTATATAATTCTCAAATAAGGCAAATTATGCCAATTATCGCGAACTGGATAATAAAAGCACCAGTAACACTGGCTGCAGCCCGGTGATACAATATATACGGATGTTTGGAGAGCGTATAGACTCCCACATAGGCTTGGTTATGAGCATCGTATCGTTATCCACAAGCGGCATTTTGTGTAGTAAACAACCGGAGTGCACATAAACAATATTGGAGCTATGTGGTCGAGGCTGAAAGATTTCTTGAGACTTTATCATGGCTTCAGAAGCCGACTATCCTGTAGCCGTATGGATGATTTCCTCTACTGCATGCATTACGATTTTAGAACCTCTGAACCTCTTCCTAACCTTGATAAGTTTTTGAACCACGTATTAGAATTGTATTCATTTTATTTCCTTGGTTTTGTATAATATATTTTTACTTCATACTTACTGTTTGCTGGTTGGTTAATATTTTCTCGAGGTCGCTTAATATTCGTTCAAAGGTCGTCCATAAACTAGAGTTTCGCCGAAAAATCCATAAACTAAGACTACATGATGCCTATATTGAGGTTATTTAAACAGGCCTGAATATTTTTAAAGTTTACTGTTAAAATTCAACCCAGTATTTCAAACAACAGAAGTTTGTATTAAAACAGAGGATTTCATATAAGCTCCACATAATTTTACAACGTTACGTGATAGGCATTATGTTAGGGTACGTTAGTTAGGTTGGGCTACCCTAACTTACATTGTCTAAACGACATTATGGCGGCAAGGACAACAGGGTCACTCAGCATTTCGGTTTAAAGATTTCATACTTAAAGTAAGATGTCCAGAAAAATAGATTCCTTTGATTCACAGCAGTCGTAATCAGATTACATCTAGAAATACGCCCGTGAACAGTCCTAAACAGAATAGAGATCCATAAACTATCGAATACAAACAGTTGAAGATGTACGGCGCATTTTTTTCGTCATATTTCATTATTCTTCATCTCTAACTTGCTCTGTACAAATGGTACGAACAATAGACGTAAAATAAAAGCAACATATCAAACCTTTCAAGAACTAAGCATCACAACATCAAAAAATAACCCACTCGGTTTCGGTTCACAACGACTTGATTCATTTAGTTCAAAAGATAAAAATGTTTCCGTTGCGTCGACTTGTCTAGTTGAATATTTCAATGGCGTAGGCAGTGCGTTTTGATTAGTAGTTTCATCCGTGATATCGAGGACTTCATCTATTTTTTGCTGGGCACTTTTTAAGGCTGTGATCGCAAATTTTGAAATGTTGCCTGCTTTCTCCAATGAATTCCACCAATTCATCTCATAGCTAACTCCGTCAATAACCTTGAGGTAGAGAACAAATTTGAGTGATTTTTCTGCCACTATTCAATCAAACAGTTATGTATGCATATTAATTTGCTCATAATCGCATGCTAACCTTTCCATTTTTTCCACTTTTTTGTGATATTCATGTTTTTTCTTTACATAAGTATTACACTCCCATATTATGCACTCACCGCTCACGTGACATCGTACTCTGTCAGAAATAGTACGAGTTTTCTTTGTTACTTTTTATTAACGTTAACAACAAGCTTCTTTAGTGTCAGTTTTAGAAACAAGCATTTTTTTAAACAAGTGTGCTATTTTCCACGGGGAGACCTTGTGGCGTACCATATCAAGCCCACATGGTTTATTCTACCTACCGGAAAGTCAAATCATTTTTTTCTACCTGAATCACGTTTTGACTTTCTTAAGTATTCGCTTATTAGCAATGTCTGTCTTGTGTGAGCTCATGTGTGTTCAGTGATTACCCTACCCATCATATGCCGATGATTTAATGTTGTCCGACCATAGGCATTGAGTTCCACTGAACACATCATAACTAAAGGCGCTCAGTCATGCATCTGCACAGTTTATTAGAGGCTGTGCCATGCCACTCATCCCTTGAAAATACCCGTATGGGTTCTGATCGACTTAGTGTTGCTGGGGTGAAGTTATGTAATGCACTACTTAAAAAGAGACAAATGGAAACGAGGCGCGAATCACATAGAAAGCCTTAGATGTTAGGAATTGAGAAGAGTTTGGGCTTACTGAATTACAAAGCAGAGGTGTTACAGGAGAACTGAAAATATTTAGTCGATTAAGAACTGCAGTACTAAATATTAATAAGTTTGCTGTTTTGGCTGCATTTGTCTTGCCCAGCTTTTAAACTTGTTCGTTTATATCTGAGGATGATACAGGTATTCAGTGTTTAGATGGTGGTTGGAGGTAGTCAACAGGAAACCCTGGACCCGGGTTTCGTGCTACTTGGCACTCGTCAGCAAGGTGTACCTGTAATCTTGAGGGAACTGGTGCTCCCTGGCGGATTCGATCTCGTATTCAGTGTTTGACAACGCTTCTACCAGTAACACCTTCTAATATGCTTTGTTCCCACCGAGAGAAATCAAAAGACAGAGTCGAGGAGATCGGAAGAGTGTATTTGGCGATAACCAATATATCGGGAATCTCTGATCTAATCCGGCTTGTGATTGCGGTTCATGTTGAGCACTGCGTTACAGCACATGATCTGGTGCGGATGCATGACCGAGAGCCTTCAGCTAGATGAGCCCACTAAAACATATGGTCAGCATCCAATGTCGAAAGCCCACAGAGCTATTTAGTTTAGGGATTTATTTACCGCTACAGATCACTCCCCCCCCTTAGTGGGGCAGTGATGACCCTAAGACGTGGCCAGCCAGAAGTTTAAACCCAACGAGTTTGTCGTTGGTAAACACTCTTCTGATAGCTTACTAAATTTAGCAGCGTCTGGTCGTCTTTCCTTACTACATGGGACCGGGGTACAACATAGCAAAAAAAAGAAAAGTACAATGAAAATTTTGGATCCTCATAAACGTCATCGTTCTTTTCCAGCCGTCCTGGAAAAGAAAAAAGAAAATTTAAGTGCATGTCGAAATACACTCGTATGTGCGTAAAAAAAAAGAAAATGAACTCATGAATACGTAATGGCGTTAAAAAAATTTTTTGGAAATAGAAATGAAAATATATAAGCCTATTAAAAAATTTTTTTCTTAAAATAATATAGAAAATGTGCCTTACGTGCAATAGTCGTTTAAATGTTCTGGAAATCTTAATCTTCTTCCAGAACGCGTCGTTTTAAGTTTATTTTCGGATACTGTCGAAGTATTAACGTGTGTGTTGGTTGTCGGATGAGGCATTATAAGTGTCGGAGTCGTGTCGTTCAATTGTAACGAAGGAAATTCCACGTAGATAGGACTGCCTTCTAAATACTATGCTTTGAGGCGATCGATGCTGATGCTATCGTTGGTTCAGTTCTTATCGATTATATAGTACTTCGGTTCGCGTTGAAGAACTTTGAACGGTCCTTCGTATGCTGATTCGAAAGGTCCTCGATGCGAGTCTCGACGAACGAAAACGTGTGTACTATATCGTAAGTCAGGTTGAACGAAAACATCAGTTTATTGCGGTCGAGTGGAAACAGGTTTAATTGAACGCATTGCGTTTGTAAGCCTGTTCGTGTAGGAGGTTAGATCCATGTTCATTGAAGAAGATGAAAGATTCAAGAATCCTCCTGGAAGTCAAAGTGTCGTTCCATAAACGAGTGGAGCCACAGTTTGTTTAATGTCAGTTTTCACTACAAAGCGAATACCTAATAAAACGAGTAGAAGAACGTCACTCCACTGTGAAACGTTTGCAACTTATAGTGAAGCTTTTAGTTTTCGGTGAAAGCGTTCTTCCAACCCGTTTGCTTGTGGGTGGTAGGCGGTCGTTCAGAAGCGAATGCTTCCTAATAGTGTGGTCAGACGACGGAAAAGTTCAGACTCAATCTGACGTCCGCGGTCCGTAGTGATGTTTGAAGGGCAACCGAAGTTTGCTACCCACCGTTCGACGAAGGCACAGGCCACTGTTTTAGCAATGATGTCCTTGATAGGTACTGCTCCTGGCCATCGAGTGAAATGGACTACGCAGGTTAAGACGTAAGATTCTCCATTTGAATCTGGTAAAGTTCTTACCAAATCCAGATGAACATGGTCGAAACGAGCACCGGAAGTTCTCAAAGAGCCCAAGGGACATTTATTGTGTCTGATAACCTTAGACTTTTGGCAGCTTACCCAGGAGCGTGCCCACTCCCTCATGTCTTTATTCATGCCAGGCCAGCAAAACCGTTCTGCTATAAGCTTGATGGTTGCACGAACACCTGGATGAGAAATTTTGTGCTACGTATTGAAAGCATTGTGTCGATAATGTTTCGGCACGACTAGGTGTTCCCTACCTGTAGATGTGTCACACAGTGAGGTTTCCTTACCTGTTCCCATCTGTTTGATGCGTAGCTTGAGGGTTGTAGACGATAACTCGTGCTGAAGATCAGTGTCTTCTTTTTGAAGCTGGGCACGTTCACGAAGGTCGATTCCTTGAAAACCGTTCAAGGAATTTATGCGAGATAAGGCGTCTGCAACTACATTGTTTGCTCCAGAAATATGTTGAATATCTGAAGTAAACTGCGAAATGTAGTCCAGTTGTCGAGACTCACGGGGAGAGTACTTGTCTGAAGAGGAGCTTAACGAGAAAGTGAGCGGTTTATGGTCAGTGAATAGAGTGAATTCACGACCTTCGATATAGTGTTGAAAATGCCGTACAGCACAACACATAGCTAGGAGTTCCCGACCGAATGTGCTGTATCTCGATTCGGTGTCTAGCAACCGTCTAGAGAAAACTGCCAAGGGTTGCCAGGAGTTGTTAACCCATTGCTGTAAGACTCTTCCGATTGCTGAGTCGGATGCGTCTACTGCGATACTAATGGGTGCTTCAGTGTCCTGATGTGCGAGCATTGTTGCTCTAGCGATGAGTTCCTTAATTGTGGAGAACGCATTTTCGTGTGGTGTTGTCCAAATTAATGGATCTCGCATTTCCACGAAGTTGGTCGGTAAGAGGTTTCATAAGTAATGCGCATTTCGGTATGAAACGTCTATAGAAACTTACAAGGCCGTTAAACGTGCGTAATTGCTTGACGTTCGTCGGTTCTGGGTAATCCAGAATGGCCTCCACTTTGGTCCTAAGAGGTCGAATGCCTTGAGCATCGATAGTGTGTCCTAGGAAATCTTACGAGTCGGTTCCGAATTGGCATTTCTGAACGTTCACAGTAATGCTATGTTTTTGTAATCGATCGAAAACAAGATCCAGATGCTTGAGATGTGATTCTCTGTCCGGACTTGCGATTAGGCAGTCATCAACGTACGCATGTACGAAGTTGAGACCTCGAAAGACGTCGTCTATGAATCTTTGGAAAGTTCGCGCAGCGTTTCTTAGACCGAAAGACATTCGCAAAAATTCATAGAGTCCGAAAGGAGTTATGATAGCTGTTTTCGGTATGTCGTCAGTAGCCATAGGGATTTGGTTATACGCTCTAACCAAGTCGATTTTCGAAAAGACAGTTGTACCTTTCAAGGTAGCTGTCAAATCGTGAATGTGAGGCAACGGGTAACGATCGGGAATGGTTTTTGCATTCAATCACCGATAGTCACCAGTTGGACACCAATCGTTGCTGTCCTTTTTAGGGACCATGTGCAACGGAGATGCATATGGGCTGTTTGACGGTCGTATGATTCCTAAGTCTATCATGTGATCGAATTCGTTTTTCGCTAACCTTAGCTTTTCAAGAGCTAGTCGTCGTGCTTTAGAGAATACAAGTGGTCCAGTAGTTGTGATGTGATGTGTAACATTGCTGGTTACACACGGTAGTTTCGGTTGAGTTTGTTGTATCCCAGGGTACTTATCGAGTAGCGGTTGATAGAGTGGGTCTATCATATGCTTAACTGTGACTGAGGATAATCTAAAACCAGAAAAAGAAGTTACGCAAACGGATAATTTAGTGTTTCCATCTACTAGCCTCCGTTTGCGCGTGTCGATGATTAGATTATGATGTTGTAGAAGATCCATACCAATGATTGGCATAGAAACATCTGCAACAACGAAAATCCAATGAATGGGTTTGCGTAAACCCACGTTAAGGTAGACGTACCTTTTGCCATACGTGGCGATCGGTTTACTATTTGCCGCCTGTAAGTTTAGAGTTGATTCGTGGAGCCGGTCGTTATGATTTGCTGGGAGAACGCTAACTTCTGCGCCAGTGTCGACGAGGTAGCGAACCCTCGTTGTCATATCTGTGACGTACAACAGACGGCTATGTTCGCCGGCTACGGTTGCCGTTAACGCGTGTCGGCTTCGAAGTTTCCTGAGTTGTTTTTCGAGTCAGTCGTTTTCGTGTTGGGAAAATTGCAGGGTTTTCTGCAATTTATGGAAGATTTTCCATACTGGTTATGATACCAGCACCAGTCGGGGTTATCCGTCTCTCGTGGTCTAGAGACAGATCGTTTACGTGAAATGCTTTTACGTGGGCTGCGTGAGCGATTACGGTCGTTACGAAGATTAAGATAACGCGTGAGTGTATGACATAATTCGGTTTTGTCATTCTGAGTCGTGTGAGGCTTTTCATTGACGGAAAATACCTCTGAAGTAGACGATTTCGTTATTTCTAAAATACG